TCTTTTTTTTTTTTTTTTTTTGAGATGGAGTTTCGCTCCTGTTGCCCAGGCTGGAGTGCAATGGCGCGATCTCAGCTTACTGCAACCTCCACCTCTTAGGTTCAAGCGATTCTCCTGCCTCAGCCTCCTGAGTAGCTGGGATTATAGGCAGGCAACACAACGCCCAGCTAATTTTGTTTTTTTAGTAGAGACAGGGGTTTCTCCATGTTGGTCAGGCTGGTCTCGAACTTCTGACCTCAGGTGATCTACCTGCCTCAGCCTCCCAAAGTGCTGGGATTACAGGCATGAGCCAACATGCCCGGCTGTTGCTGACTTTTGTTTGGGTGTTGTGGTGGGGAAAGCTGACTGCAGTGGTTAGAGAGAGAATGGGAGACTCTGGAAGAAGGCATGAGCCTATTTTAGGGTCCAGTTCCAAGTGGATTAATTAGATAACAAAATTCATAGCCCATGGGCGACATTTACAAATCAACATGGGGATAAGGAAGGGTGAGGACACACCACCAACTTGTTATCTTTGTGTGGAAGACAGCAGAGGGAAGCGGCAGAGCATCTCACGGTGTGGGAAAAGGCAAGCTAACAGGCACTCTAGAAGGCACAGCAGGCCAAAGTAAAAACAGCAGCTAAAACTGGGAGGGTTTTTCTTACTTTAAGTTAAAGACTAAAGGGGCTGGAAGAGCTAGACTCTGGGAAACTGACCGGGTGTCAGGGTCCCACGCTGGGAAGACAGTGCTGAGTGGGATCAAACTTAAGCAGGATGGGGCTGGGTGGGTGGCTCACGCCTGCAATCTCAGCACTTTGGGAGGCTGAGGCGGGTGAATCAGTGATGTTGGGAGTTCAAGACCAGCCTGGACAACATGGTGAAACTCCGTCTCTACAAAAAATACAAAATTAGCTGGGTGTGGTGGCATGCACCTGTAGTCACAGCTACTCAGGAGGCTGACGCAGGAGAATCGCTTGAACCTGGGAGGCGGAGGTTGCAGAGAGCTGAGATTGCACCACCACATTCTGGGCTGCGTGACAGAGCCAGACTCTGTCTCAAACAAACAAACAAACAAACTTAAGCAGGATGGGAAAATAGAGACCAGGAAAGAGAAGGCCCAGATATAGGCAGGGGACAGGGACAGAGCCGGGAAATCACAAAAGCAAATTGTAATACTTTTTCTTTTTGAAGGTGCAAGAGTGTTTTGCTCTGCTGAAAGCATACTTACTTATTTACTAGCAGTCTAAAGAGAAGAACCTACATGACTGCTTTTGGAAAGTATAAAGAACACACAATCATAATTTTGAAAGATACAACTCTCAACATATTTGAATCAATTGCCATGTTTTTTTCTGATTGCAAAATGACCCATGTGCCATAAACTTTCACATAAAATTTCAGCTACTAAAAAAGATTTCTTCTAATTTATCTTACATTTTGCTATTTTTAAAATAATACTGGGCAAAAATTATGTGCTATATAAGTATTAGCTATTATTATCCCTTCCATTAGATAAAAATTTTACTTTTTTAAACTACTGTTTGTAGATATCTATTCGTATTATTTTGGAGAGGCAATCTTTAGTGAAGACACATTTATACAGATATCTATATTAATATACAGATATCTAATATCAAATAGATATGTATAACTATATACTTAAATAGGTATATATATATACATATGAGGTTATATATAGTTATATGTATATCTATATACATATTTTATATATAGATATGTATATATATGGATAAGACATATCGATATATGTATATCTATATATAGACGTATATCTATATATATAACTACATATGTATATAGAAATATGTATATCTATATAAATATATAACTCAATTTTGAGAAAAACTGTTATAGAAAATTCTTTTATATAAAGAATTTGGCTGGGCACAGTGGCTCACATCTATAATCCCATCACCTTGGGAGGCCAAAGTGGGAGGATCACTTGAGGCCAGGAGTTCAAGATCAGCCTGGGCATAGTGAGACCCTGTCTCTAGAAAAAATAAAAAGAAATTAGCTGGGCATGGCGGCACACACCTGTAGTTCCAGCTACTCAGGAGGCTGAGGCGGGAGGATCACTTGAGCCCAAGAGATCAAGGCTGCAGTGAGCTGACTGTACCACTGCACTGCAGGCCGGGTGACAGAGCAAGGTCTTGTCTCTTAAAAAAAAAAAAAAAGATTTGGCTGAGCGTAGTGGCTCACGACTATAATCCCAGCACTCTGGGAGGCCGAGGTGGGCAGATCATGAGGTCAGGAAATCAAGACCAATTTGGCCAATATGGTAAAACCCCATCTCTACAAAAAAAATTAGCTGGGCATGGTGGTGCACACCTGTAATCCCAGCTACGCAGGAGGCCGAGGCAGGGGAATCGCTCAAACCAGGGAGGCGGAGGTTGCAGTGAGCCAATACTGCACTCCAGCCTGGCGACAGAGGGAGACTTCGTCTCAAAAAAATGGAAAAGATTCAAGAAACCTTTCTTCGTAATCTAAGAAATTATTCGGACCTCATGTTCCTTATTTGTAAAACAAATAGGATAAAGGACACACTTTCTAGTGTCCCTTCCAGCTCTAATTCGGAAATTCCAGTTTTCTCACACAGGGTTTGCTCAAAACGTAGCGTAAACTATAACATAAACAACAGAAGCCTAACACACAAAAAGCATACAACAGCGAAATGTTGTTCCGCAGCTTTCTGTCCTTTGAGCCGTGTCGTCCTACATGTTCTCATCTTTCCTTGCAGCCCTGCTTCCTGAACTCTCATTTTCTCCCTGCCTCAGATGTGTGGTGGCAGATCCAGATGTAGAATGCTGGTAAACAAAACCGGTGCCAAGGGTATAGCGGAGGGACCCAACATCTGCAGGCTTGGTGTTTGCCCTTAAGGACCAGGTTTTACACCAAGACACTTTATGCCTCTCTTTGATCCTCTAATAAACTCCCGTATGTTACAAAAACCTAGCCAGTTACATTTCCTCAGATGCTGTCCAGGCAAAGTCGGGGTCAGTCGCTGTGGTGGCCGGCCTCCAAGATGGCCCTCTTTCCTCCCACAGCCTGGTCTTCCATGCTTGGGCAGACCCCTATGACACTGCAAGAGAGATGGCCTGAGACTGATGAGATCAACAGAAGCGATACTTGTCACTTCCAAGATTTGTTTATAAAAGACTATGGTGCCAGGCATGGTGGCTCCTACCTGTAATCCCAGCCCTTTGGGAGGCCGAGGCAGGCAGATCACAAGGTCGGGAGTTTGAGACCAGCCTGTCCAACATGGTGAAACCCAGTCTCTACTAAAAATACAAAAATTAGCCGGGCGTGATGGCACATCCCTGTAGTCCCAGCTACTTGGGAGGCTGAGGCAAGAGAATTGCTTGAACCTGGAAGGTGGAGGTTGCAGTGAGCCGAGATTGTGCCACTGCACTCCAGCCTGGACAAGAGAGTGAGACTCCATCTCAAAAACCACCACCACCAACAACACTGTGGCTTCCACCTTGGCCTGTCTGTCTCTGTGTCTCTCTTTCTCTCTCTCTCTCTTTCTCTTTCTCTTTCTCTCTCTCGACTTGGTCTGGAGGGAGCCAGCTGTTAGGTCTTAAAGATACTTAGCCATCCCTGTAGAGAGACCCATGTTGTGAGGACTGAGGCCTGCCAACAACCACGCGGGTCCTTGAACAGGTGTCCTTCTTTGCCGTCACAGGAGACCACAGCCCTGGCTGATGTCTCAACAACAACCTCATGAGAGTCCCGGGACCCAGGGACCACCCAGGGAAGCTGCTCCTGAACTCCTGACCCACAGAAACTGTGAGAAAATAAATGTTTATTGTTTTAAGTGGCTAAATTTGGGAATAATTTGTTATGCAACAATAGAGAACCAATATGGTGGGTTTCTAACTTTCTAACCATGACCCACAGCAAGAAACACGTTTTATTCAGGAGCTGAGTACAGCAGCCCATGCACACTTAGACACGCAAACACACACACGAGTGCACACGTGCACACACGCACACAGTGCACACATGCTCACACATGTGCACACACATGCACGTAGACACGCATACACGTGTACACATGCACACACATGCCCACACACGTGCACACATATGCACACATGCTGGCATGCACTTATCCATGCACATACACAAATATGCATACAACTATTGCTTCATGAAACAATACTTACTCCTACTACATATACTTTCCACACTCTGATATTCTCTAGATTATTGTTTTCTATTTCATGCATTCCATTTAAAAGAAAGTGGGAACACTGAGCCACTAAACTGACTTTAAATCCATACATGGGGTGTGGAGCAGCGTGCAGAAGACAGAGGGGAAGAAATCGCAGTTTCTTGCAGTTTGCCTGTCATCCGTCGACACTGCAGTGGCCGTGATCTTAACTGGCTCACCGTCAAAGCCAGTTTACTTTTCTTTCAGAAACTAGCCCCCTCTGTATACAGTAAGTACCAAATAAGTGCTGTTTGATCCCTGTCCTTCACTATGATAGGTACCAGGAGTCCAGATGACACTACACATTACTTTTCTCTATGTAATGTTTCATAAAGTATTTTATTTATTTATTTAGAGATGGAGTCTCGCTCTGTCACCCAGGCTGGAGTGCAGTGGCGCGATCTCGGCTCACCACGACCTCCCCCTCCTGGGCTTAAGCTATTCTTCTGCCTCAGCCTCCCAAGTAGCTGGGATTACAGGCACACGCCACCACGCCTAGCTAATTTTTGTATTTTTAATAGAGACAGGGTTTCACCACATTGGCCAGGCTGGTCTCAAACTCCTGACGTCAGGTGATCCATTCGCCTCAGCCTCCCAAAGTGCTGGGGTTACAGGCATGAGCCACCACGCTCAGCCTTCATAAAGAACTTTAGTCATACACAATTTGGAATAATATGATGAAAATCTCTGTATTCATATTCCGACTGGAAAATAAAACAATAGAAACACAAATGTAGCCTTCGTGCTGCAGTCTGAATGTTTATGTCCCTCCCAAATTCATATGCTGAAATCCTAACTCCCAAGGTGATGGCATTAGGGGATGAGGCACTGGGAGGTGACAAGGTCATGAAAGGGGACCCTCATGAGTGGCATTAGTGGTGCCCTTATAATAGAGTCCCCAAAGAGGTCCTTGCCCTTTCTACCACATAAGGACACTGTAGAAAGATGTCTGGCTGTCTGTGAACCAGGAAGTGAGCCTTCACCAGACACTCACTACGTTGATCTTGGACTTCCCAGCCTTCAGAACTCTGAGAAACAAGTTTCTGTTGTTTATAAACCCTCAGTCTATGGTATTTTGCCATAGCACCCCTAAACAGACAAAGACACACCATGCATCCCTCCCCAGTCCCAGTTCCCTCTCTCCCATTATAGAGGTAACCTCTATCCTAAACTTTTCATTTCTCATTCACTATGCAGATTGTAGTTTTCTTGTGTATGTACATTACATAACACATGTAGGTTTCTTTTCACATAGGCTTATATTTTATACACATGGGGCCATGCTATACATATCCTTTTATAATTTCTTTTGCTCAACATTATGTTTTTGAGACTTACCCATGAACTCTAGTTCGTTCATTTTAACTGCTTTCTGTTATTTCATTGTATGGATTATATCAAAAGTCATCTGTTCCTTCCTCCTGTTTGCAGTCATTTAGATTTTTTTTATTACAAACAATATGCAATGAACATTCTTACACTTTTCTAGTGCAGGCTCTCTCCGGCATATAACCAAATGTTAAACTTCTTAAGGGAACAAAATCAAATCTATAAACAATCCTGGCAAGCAGCCCTGATTGGTTTTATCTTTGTCCCATCTTTAGATCCCAGCCTACAGGTCTGGATCTGTTTCTGTTTAGTCAACAGAGCTTTCAAGAGGGGACAGAGTCAGGTTAAAAAAACAAAAAACCAAAATTTGAAACATCTGTTTCTCTTTAAGCTGGAGATGTGAAGCAAGTCTAAGGAAATAATGAATATTAGTCATTTTTAATAGTCGCTGGAATGTCTTGACTCAAACGATCATAAACTCTTCTCTATGTAACCTACCCATTAAAATCTATGGGAAGCGGTATTTGTTCCCATAATTTCAGGAACAAAAGGTTGCCTTGCCTGGGTTTATCTAAGCCAAGAGACAGCAAACTGTTTCTGTCAAGAGCCACATAGCAGGCTGCTTATACTTTTTTTTTTTTTTTTTTTTGAGACAGGATCTCACTGTCACCCAGGCTGGGGTGTAGTGGAGTGATCTCAGCTCACTGCAGCCTCGATGTCCCTGGCTCAAGCAATCTTCCCACCTCAGACCCTCCAGTAGCCGGGACTACATGTGTGCCGCACCACACTCAGCTAATTTTTGTATTTTTTGTAGAAACAGGGTCTCATTATGTTGCCCAGGCCAGTCTCTCAAACTCCTGAACTCAAGTAATCTGTCCACCTTGGCCTCCCAAAATGCTAAGATTACAGGTGACAGGCCCGTGGTGCCCAGCCTATTTATGCGTTTTATACTTTGCAGAGCTTACAGTCTCTGTCACAGCTACTGAAAGCAGCCACAGACTATACATAAGCATGGCTGTGCTCCAATAAAACTTTATTTACAGAAACCAGACAGCCAGATTTGGCCCATGGGCCATAGTTTGCTAACCCCTATTTTAAGCAGAAGAAAATAATTCAGACTAACAACATGTGCTATTACACATTAAAATTTAACTCTTAATCTGATATTTTCTCCTTTTTGATTGATAACTATTCTAAAAACTAGTCTTAGTGAGAGTGAGGATAAACAAATATTTTCAAATGCTGTTGTAGGAATGGACTGGTGCATTCATTTATTCCTTTAACAGCTATACATAGCCGTGAGCCCCACCATATACCAAATTCTCCCCTGGCTGCTGGAAACATACAAATACAAAGTGTATATGCACCACCCTCAGTGAGCTCACAGGTCCTCAGTGGGCTCACAGGTCCTCAGTGGGCTCACAGGCTAGTGAAGGGGATGGTTACTTAAACAGTTTTTCTTTTTGTTTTGTTTTCTTTCTTTTTTTTTTTTTTTGAGACATTGTGTCGCTCTGTTACCCAGGCTGGAGTGCAGTGGCGTGATCTCGGCTCACCGCAACCTCCACCTCCGGGGTTCAAGCAATTCCCTGCCTCAGCCTCCCGAGTAGCTGAGTAGCTGGGATTACAGGTGCCAACCACCATGCCCAGCTAATCTGTGTATTTTTAGTAGACATGGGGTTTTACCATCTTGGCCAGGCTGGTCTTGAACTCCTGACCCTGTGATCTACCGCCTTGGCCTCCCAAAGTACTGAGATTACAGACATGAGCCACTTCACCCAGCCTATTTAAATAGTTTTTAACTGCTTAAAAAGCGATGAGATGAAAATATCTTCTTATCTCTAATTGAAAACATTTATAGTGGCATGAATACATCTGACCAACAACAGCAGCAGTAATGAAAAATAAATAATAAAGCTGGTTAATTCCAGTCTAAGGTGTCAACCATATATATATATATATATATATATATATTTATTTGAGGCCGAGTCTCACTCTGTCACCCAGGCTAGAGTGCAGTAGCACGATCTTGGCTCACTGAAACCTCCACCTCCAAGGTTCTAGCGATTCTCATGCCTCAGCCTCCTAAGTAGCTGGGATGACAGGCATGAGCCACCACAGCTGACTAATTTTTGTATTTTTAGTAGAGAGGGGGTTTCACCATGTTGGACGGGCTGGTCTCAAACTCCTGACCTCAGGTGACCCACTCACCTTGACCTCTCAAAGTACTGGGATTACAGGCAATGTTCCCACCTGATGTTCTTCCATTTCAAAGAGTGTAGTCCATGCTCTGATCTCCCACCTCAACAACCCTTAGAACTCTCCACGGAGCCTCCTACTTTCCCACCTCACCGTCTCTCCCAAGGCCACGTGCTCTGGATTCATGGATAGGGCAATGGGCTACCAGTTCCCAAATGTCCCACCGCCTTACCTCCGGGCACGCAACGGAAGCCATCTCCCTGATAACCGGGTTTGCACTGGCATGTGAAGGAGCCTGGGGTGTTGTAGCAGAAGGCGTCCGGGTGACATCGGCTTGGCTGGCATTCATCCACATCTGTAAAACAGACACCAGGCCCAGAGACAATGAGATCTCTTTCAGAATTCTCAATAATTTAAGCCGCTTACTCAAAGCTATGGGAACCTGCTTCTGATCGGGGAATAGTAATTCAAAACTCACTAAACATTAACTATTAAGTCACTAGCTCCCCAGTTTCTATCTGTTGCACTTACAAATGCATTTCACTTTGGCAACGTTTCCACGAAAAATGTTTTCATCAAGCTTACAACAGGGGAAAAGATAGGATTTACGTGCATTATAAAACGATCTCTCTTGTCATTAATGAGAGCTTCAAAAATGTCTGAGTGTTTGCTAACAGTTTATTAAGTACTTGACAGAAAACCCTCAGCAACAAGAAAAAATTCCCATGTTCAGTAATAAAGAGAAAGTATCTCAGAAATTATCATCTATCTTAGTTGGGACTTTTTAGAAATGCTCTGTGGTATAATATTAAGTACTTTTGCAAACCAAGAGACTCAAGGTGCTCTGTTCATGGGTTACCTTACCTACAATTACCTGTAAGAGCACCCTGGCAGCCAGCGAGCTCATGTCTGGAGGAATTCTGTTGAGTCATTTATTCTTTGACTCTGCAGTCATCTATTCAATATGAGAACTTTGCTTTTTTGAAGGAGAAGGTTAGAACAAGCCAGATGAATGACTATATATTAATAAATCTTATTAAATGAAAGGATGGACTTTAAGCTCCATGCATGTCCTCCACGTAAAAGGACAGTTTGTCTCTTTGTGAAAGACAGAAAATATCTCCAGTTCCTCGCAGAGAGCTGGTATCTAATTGTTGCCTGAATGAACTAGTCACCTAGAACAAAATAGTCACCAATGAGAACAGCCCCCAAAAGAAAATGTGTAGTTCAAACTATTAGAAAGACATAAAAAGCAACTCATTTACTCAATGGAGATGACAGAATTCTTTCTTGTATTTGGGAGTGAGTTGGTAATTAGCACATGGTAAATACCACCTAGGAAACTTTCTCAGGTTACACGCAGGGGAAAGTCAGAGCAATCACACACCTTGGCAGGCTCGGCCATCCCCAGAAAAGCCTGGCAAACAGGAACAGGTGTAGGAGGAGCCTCCTGTGTAGACACACCGGGCCCGCTGGGGTATGTCGCAGTCATGTAGGCCAGTTGCACAGTAGTTGATGGGGCGCTGGTCCACGACAGCTTCAGAACAAAAGGTTGATGTACTGTCTTAGGAAGAAAGTCCCCTGAGCAGGCCACGTGCCCCTCCCAGCTCTAAAAAGAGGAGCCATGCCTGGACCCCGGACCTCCAGGCACGCGCATAGTCTTCAAGCCCCGCCCTTCAGTACCACTGCTTTCATCGTTTCTTCCCACCGGGGGCCTGCCACTGACGGGTCTTGGCTGACTGACACCGCAGTTGGTCATTCTGACTGGCTTGAACTTAGTTTCATGCTGGGGCTCTGTCTGAGGCCACTCTCCAAACCAGATTCCCATCATGGGTCCCCAGGACCCAACTTTCCCTTCATCTGGACGGGGGGGGTGGGACATCTGCAGATGCCACACTTCTGATGGCAACTCTGCTGAGACCGCTTGGAGGGAAGGAGCTGAGACTTCCATGTGGCATTCAGCCTTGGCCCACCCTGGACAGGTGGAACATTCACCACAAATGCCGAAGCCAGTCACCTACTTGCCACCAAGGAAAGGAAAATAAGTGTTTACAAGGCAGGGAGATAGATATGGTCAGAAGACTGTGGGCCTTTGGAGTGGGCAGCCCTGGTATATACCAGGTACGCATGGGTCAACCACATGGCCTTAGATAAATCGTGTAATTCTCAGACCCTTGGGTTCTTCCCCCTCCACTGCCCCCCACCCCCATCTCTCTTTTTCTCTGTCTCTCTGTTAAGGTAGGACAAACTGAAATCAATCTTAGGAAGACTCATGGAGGAGAAATGAGCCCTCCTTCATCTGGGATAATCCAACTACTGAAAGCCTGCTGGGAGGGAAAGATTTCTGTGCTGACATTGCGAGGATGGGACTCTGTCCTGGCCCTTAGCGCTTCAGGAAAATTGGAAGCAAAATGGTGCTTTAGGAACCCCAGAGTAACTGAACTAGCCATTGAAAATCACCCTGCAGACCTCAACCCTTGCCTTCCATCTTGAGGCAACAGCACAAGATGTGGCATTATCAGCTAGCCTCTGTGACACCCACCTACTCCTCAGCCCTCATTCCACGAGTTCCATCATCAGGACCCTTAAGAGAATCATAGTCCCATCTACTGGCCTCTCAGTGCTTGGCGTACTGGAAGTTAACTGCTGCAGCCATGGCCTAAGCCTGGCCCTGTTCTTGCCTTGAGAGGAGGGCTGACGCATGGCACTGTGCCTGCACCAAGATGCCCCGGGGAGGTGTACATAGGACCTCAATTCACCACACTCTATATGCCAGCCCAGCGTCACAGGGCTACGTCCATTCAGAGGGGTGTCTACGTCTTCACATCAAGCTGACTTAAGGGCAAGCTGAGGCTCATCTTCCCTTCACAAAGACATGTTTTGCACGTTTCAATTAACTGCAAAAGTTGGTACCCAGTGGAAAAGAGATTCATGAGAAAATGCCAAAGATGGAAGTCCACAAATATCGCTTCCCCAATAATGGATACCAATCCTCATGAAAAGAGAATCCCCCCGGGCCAGCCCACGTCTCTACTAAAAATGTAAAAATTAGCCAGGTGTGGTGGTGCACACCTGTAGTCCCAGATAATCGGGAGACTGAGGCAGGAGAATCACTTGAACCTGGGAGGCAGAGTTTGCAGTGAGCTGAGATCATGCCACTGCACTCCAGCCTGGGCAATAGAACGAGACTCTGTCTCCAAAATAAAATGAGGTTGGTCTCATAGAAATAAAAAGTAGAAGAGAGGGTACTAGAGGCTGGGAAGAGTAGGGGGAACGGAGGGAAAGGGAGAGATTTATTAAAGACTACAAAATTACAGCTCAAAAGGAATAAGTTCTAGTGTTCTATACCACTGTAGGATGACTACAGTTAACACAAATATTAAAATATTATATAGTTTCCAATAGCTAGAAGGAGCATACTGAATGTTCGCGACACAAAGAAATGATAAATGTTTGAGATGATGGGTATGCTAATTACCCCGATGTGATGACTATACATTATATGCATTAACACATCACTGTGTGTCCCATGAGTATGTACAATCATTATGTGTCAGTTAAAAAATATACATCTTTTTTAAAGGGGTGAAGAGCCAAGCAGGATGGAATTGCCTGGAGTCCTACAGGCAGTGGGAGAATCAAGAAGCCTCAGGAGGTCAGGTCTCAGCGGAACAGACGGTCATCTGGTGGTGTTCACACTTGTTTCTGAGCAATGGAATCCTTTATTCAGACAAAAATCCTGCTGAGAACTTTACATATTAAAAAATAGGACGCCAGTGTGTTGGCTCATGCCTGTAATCCCAGCACTTTGGGAGGCCGAGGTGGTGGAATCACTTGAGGTTAGGAGTTCAAGACCAGCCTGGCCAACATGGTGAAACCCTGACTCTATTAAAAATACAAAAATTAGCTGGCTGTCGTGGTAGCCACCTATAATCCCAGCTATTCAGTGGGCTGAGACAGGAGAATCACTTGAATCCAGGACGTGGAGGTTGCAGTGAGCCGAGATCGCACCATTGCACTCCAGCCTGGGCAACAAGAGCAAAACTCCATCTCAAAAAAAAAAAAAAAGGAAGGCTAGAGGTCAGGGGAGAGGACAAGAGCCTGCCCGCAGTTTGCCTGTGTCCCCTTTGGCAGCTGCTGAGGCACCTCCAAGAGCTCCATGGGTCCCAGGAAACCAATGATCCAGTCTAGTTACCTCATTTTACAGATGAGGAACTGAGGCCCAGAGAGGTTGCCTTCCTGAAAAGTAAACGTCTGAAGCAGACATTTGCACAGCTCCTGCCTTGCACCCCACCCTGCCCCTTCAGTGAGTGTGGACATCAGGAATGACTGGGTCCAGAAACCCAGGTCACCATGCTCCATTACCCAAGCTTGAGCTGATGTGAAATGTACATGGTGTGGCCGTTAAAATTAAACTTTCCAATCTCCTTAACCTCAAAAAGCAGATAAAGAAATCAGGCCAAATACACAGAAGTTGATGTTCTCTACTGAGGAAAAAAAAAAAAAAAAAAAACAAGTTAACTTTAGCAGAGTGAAAATCTCAACTCTGTGCAAAGGGGACTGGCCTCCCTGAGCTCACAGATGTTTGGGTCACACTCAAAATATGAGAACTGCCTGTTCCCTCCCATCCTCAAGACACCACCTCACCCCAGGACCTTGGCAGCCTTTCCCAAGCTTTAAGACAGACCAAAAAGAAAACGTTCTACGGTTTAGTGAACAGTGAGGAAGAGGCAAGAAGATGGTTTGCTGACGTGAAACAAGAGGAGTCTGTTTGAAGTTGGGAAGACATGTTGAGTTCGGATGCCTGTTTGACGTGTCACATGCCAGACCTGGAAACACACTGTCCCTGGCCGTTCAAGAATCTTGAATGACCAGGTCAAAGTGCAGCAGCAGGAAAAAGAGGAAGAATTTAAACAATCTGGCCGTGTGTGGCTGGCCCATCAGCGGCAGCACCAAAATCATCATTCAACGACAGCATAATTAGCCTAATAGCTGCAATTACCTCAATAAGGATAAGAAATTATGCTGCTGCTCGTGGCTGGTAAAATTAAAATCCATAAATAGAATGACCCCAATTAGAATTTTAGATGTAACTCAGGTAGAATTCAATCTAAGACAGGTAATGATACAAAGGTACCTAGAAGGTGGTCCTTCAATATGAATCCCAAAGCTACTAATTACTGGGAGAAACATGTCTAATAGCTTTAGAGTTATTAAAAGCCTAATGAAAATGATGAAAAGAAGTTTATAAGAAGCAGATGTAATGCAGAAGCTGCAACAGGTGAGGTGATGGTATTACTGCTGTGGGCAATAACGTTGCTTATTCCTTGTACTGACGGCAGGGGCTAAGTCTGATTCATCTTTGTAAACTGCCCTTCCCAGCACCTTTCAAAGTTGGCTAGACTCATTTTACCTGAGACCAGACCTTTTGCACAAGAGCTAATGCATACCATGTGAATAATGCCGTGGAAAGTTACCTGGAGAACTTACCCACACACTTTCCCTCGTCTGAAAACTGGTAGCCCTCCACACACTCGCAGCGGAAGGTCCCTGGGTGATTATTGCAGATGGCGTGGCTCCCACACACTGAGGGTTGTTCTGAACATTCGTCAATATCTGCAGCAAATTTTTTTAATGCAGACTTTTGAAAACCTCTTCAAACATTACTGACTATAATAGTATTTTCACCTAAGAATAGATCAATTTTAAAACAATTTTTTCTTTTCTTTTTTTCTTTTTTTTCCAAGATGGAGTCTTGCTCTGTCGCCCAGCGCTAGAGTACAATGGTGTGATCTCGGCTCACTGAAACCTCCACCTCTCGGGTTCAAGCAATTCTCCTGCCTCAGCCTCCCGAGTAGCTGGGGCTACAGGTGCATGCCACCACGCCCGGCTAATTGTATTTTTGGTAGAGATAGGGTTTTACCATGTTGGCCAGGGTGGTCTCAAACTCTGGACCTCATGATCCACCCACCTCAGCCTCCCAAAATGCTGGGATTACAGGCATGAGCCATCACACCTAGCCTAAAAGTAGTGTTAAATATAATTTTTGTCTGTGCATAACCTGAGAGAGTGATCCCCAAACCCTTCTCCTAAGGAAATGTGTGCTTCCCCTACCTCTCCTGGAGTTACTTGTTGAGCCTGGGGCCCCTGAACATGGGTCTCTCCCATTAGATTGGCAAATACGTGTTATAAGGACACAGAGACTCATCTCTGGACTCTGAATATTGAGAGTCTCTGAATATTAAATATACTCTCAAGCCCTAAACTTGAGAGCATATTTAAATATGCTGTTATTTAAAAATATTACTTTCTCCATTACAGTTACAAAGAAAAGTTGAACAATTTAAAGCTTAATTGTGAATTTTTGAATATTATCTAGGGCTTAATGGACTAAAAGGAAAGTCATTCATTCATGAGACTGTAAATGAACTAGGAGAGTGATGTCCTTCTTTATGTCAATACTATAGCCACCATCATGGGGTAGCATGGAACAAACAAACATAGGCTTTGGAGGCAGACATAGCGGGGTTCAAATCCTGCTTCCTTTAGCTACTGACGTGTGTGGCCTTGGGCAAGTTACCCAACCACTCAGCCTCAGTTTCCCCTTTGGTAAATATGAATAATAATATTCATCTTGAGGGTTCTTCTGTGGATTATGGAAAACGGATGTAGGTCAGAGAAGCACCCAGCAATGCTCCAGATGCCCAGCTGTTATTGTACTAACCAGGGATTCATCCAACACCCCAGCCATGCTGATGAATTTGGCCACTCTGGGAACACGCCCCTCAGATGGCCCCTAGGCTTTGGGGGCCAGGCTGTGGCTACCACTCGAGTAAAGCTGGTTGGCCCAGGCAATAAACTGAGCGAACCTGTCGTTCCGCCGGTCACCTGGCCACTGATGGGTTGAAATAAACAGTTACACAAGGTCCTTCCCATGCCAACCTCATGCTCAGAGTGTAGACAGCTACTTCTGGCAGTTCTAAAACCCTGAGACGTGCATGAAGAGATCTCATAATGGCTGAGACCACACAGCTCTTCTCCTCCCATACAGCTCTTCCCCACCTCATACATCTCTTCCCCCACTACATCTTTTCCCCCCCTACATCTCTTCCCCCCCATACATCTCTTCCCCCCATCATACATCTCTTCCCCCTCCATACATCTCTTCCCCCGCCATACGTCTCTTCCCCGCTTCATACATCTCTCCCCCTATACAGCTCTTCCCCCCTCATACAGCTCTTCCCCAGCACTTTCATGTGTATCTTTGACACATGGGAGTCAAAGCCTCATATGTCTATCCTCAATGGCCAGTCTAGCCAGGCCCTTGTTGGTGAGACAAATGTCCTGCTGGCCTATCAGTCAACATTGCACAAGACAAGCATTCTTGCCACATCAGCCCCCTAGCTTGTCCTGTACCCAGGGAAATAAATACCTAAACCAAATGCTCTTCAACTTTGAGAGAATATACTGGTATGTGTGTGTTCTGCGACGTGTTTAAGACACAAGGTCTCAGGACGGAACCAGGCATAGCCAGAAGCTTCTGGAACAAAGCCCTTCCCAAAGCAGGCTCTTCTGCAAGCTGGAGCTGGGGGTGGCTGTGGGGGAGAAGTGCATCCAGCATGTGTGGACTTCACAGCTCCATCAATCAGTTGCTGCTCCAACATGGGAGAAAAGGGGCTTCCTGTGTCCACTGCCTCTGTGCTACAACCCTCAGAGGACACTCCCAGCACAGATGTTTGGACACACTGTACACACTGCGGGGCTCAGTGGCTTAGACGCCATTGCCAAAGCACAAGAGCGCAGAGCAGCAGTTTTCAATCGAGAAAGCAGAGCAAAATCACAGGGGAGCTTCTTCAAGCTCCGTTCCTCCCTGGGAACATTCACGGAAGGGGAAGCTGTGTTTTGCAAAAGCTTCTATGTGACCAGGCTCTTCTCCCTCGCCCTACCTGAAGAGCTATTGACAAATAGGACCTCAGGGCTACTGGGATGACGGAGGGGACAGTTCCTTAGCACAGCCTCTGCCTCCATGCAGGCTTACACATACATGCCAGACTAGACAACATCTTTTTTTGTTTTTTTTTTTTTTTTTGAGATGGTGTCTTGCTCTGTCACCCAGGCTGGAATGCAGTGGCACAACCTCAGCTCACTGCAACCTCTGCCTCCCGGATTCAAGCGATTCTTCTGCCTCAGCCTCTCGAATAGCTGGGACTACAGGTGCATGCCACCACGCCTGGCTAATTTTTGTATTTTTAGTAGAGATGGGGTCTCACTATATTGATGAGGCTGGTCTCGAACTCCTGACCTCATGATCCGCCCACCTCGGCCTCCCAAAGTGCTGGGATTACAGACGTGAGACAACACCCTTTCTTAAGGGGCAAGACCCTAGCAAGTTCCCAGCTAATAGCTCATGGTCCTTGCAGTTTGGAAATTCTTCCTAATGTATAATTTAACTCTTCTTTTCTAGGGCCAGGCACGGGGCTCACACCTGTAATTCGAGCACTCTGTGAGGCCAAGGCGAGTGAATCACCTAAGGTCACAAGTTCAAGACCAGATTGACCAACATGGTGAAACCCTGTCTCTACTAAAAATACAAAAATTAGCTGGGCGTGGTGGTGCATGCCTGTAATCCCAGCTGCCTGGGAGGCTGAGGCAGGAGAATTGCTTGAACACAGGGGGCAGAGGTTGCAGTGAGCCGAAATTGCACCATTGTACTTCTGCCTGGGCAACAGGGCGAAACTCTGTCTCAAACAAAAAAAAAAAAAAAAAAAAAAAAAAACTTCTCTTCTATAAATTGAAACCAGTACCTTAACCCTTTCTTCAGTGGAAATTGTAAACTGGCAGTAGCTGTCTCTTATACCACAGTATCTACTGGAAAACTATTCTTCTTCTTATTATTATTTTGAGACAGAGTCTCACTCTGTCCCCTAGGCTGGAGTGTAGTGGTGCGATCTTGGCTCACTGCAACCTCTGCCTCCCAAGTTCAAGTGATTCTCCTGCCTCAGCCTCCTGAGTAGCTGGAATTACAGGTGCACGCCACCATGCCCCGCTAATTTTTGTATTTTTAGTAGAGACAGGGTTTCATCATTTTGTCCAGGCTGGTCTTGAACTCCTGACCTCATGATCTGCTTGCCTCAGCTTCCCAAAGTGCTGGGATTACAGGCATGAGCCACTGCACCTGGCCGATTATTCTTATTATTTAACATCTGGTCAATCTCTTCTCTGGAAAGAGATTTCCTTTCACAGGGTCACTTTCTAACTCAATAGGAAAATCCTGGATTATTCTTGTCATTACTGCTTCTTTTTTGACTTTTTTTCAGAGTGGCTAGTTTTCACATATTTTCAGCAACTCTAAGTTTCTCTAATTTTTCCCTTTATAAAGGCCAGGCTCTTAGAGGAGAAAAGTCTCATTACCAATTTGCCAAATGGCCTCTACACACTGAATGATTACTCAGTGAGAGATGAGCCAGAACTATCTCTACAGGCACTAACTTGAGAAACACGTGGGCACCATCCTGCCAGGCACTGAATCACAGAGCTCTGTGCAACCTTCTCCCCATTACTGTGGGGGTTCACTGTGCAACGTCTCACCAAATCCACCCTTGTTTGGGTGTCATATACCATCATATCAGCGCTGCACACGCTGAATCACAGAGCCTCATCCTCATTCTCCCCTAACGCACTTCCCAGGTCAAAATAACACATGAAGTGACCTGCTTAATGCAATTTCCTATTTTAAGCCTCGTGTCTGGATGCATTAACACTTCAAGGCACGTTCTAGTGACCCAGAACAATAAGTGTCCCGACTGGGAATATATCTGCATTCCACAGAGGTAGCAAGTCAGAACAGCCACTCACCACGGGACACAAGCAAGTCTACATGCGACCACCTGTCTTCCTGGACAAGGAGAGCCAAGGATTTTCTAGGACGGTGCAGATTCCATAAAGCGTGGCTGGTTGTGCCTTCTGAAGTGAAGCACTCCCACCGTGGCAAGCTCAGGCGCCAAAGGCCAAATTAGGAGGTCACAGTTCAACAGCAGCAGACTTGGTTACTTCCACACTTTATTACTATTCAGGAAGCTCAGGAAGTTGAAGCATCGCTGTGTAATGAGGAGGTGTGGATGGGTGAAGGAGACCCACCTGCGCGCTGGCCGTCTCCACAGCCTGGGAGGGCTCCCGTTCTCACACACAGATCATGCTGCTTTGAACTGTCTGGAGCCAATTCAGCCCTTCAAGGCTGTCAGGGTCTTCACAGGAAATATGGGAAACTGAGATTATGGGTGAGTAGGCACTATGTCCCCTCCCCAGCAATAAGTCACTAGGAAAGTGAATCTCAGACTGAATTCTACCACACATACAAAGCTATCAGCAAGCTGGCCAAACACACAACCCGTACTGTGTGCCCAAGTTCCTGCCCTACAGTAATTCAGACATCCTGACAGCCACCTTGCATGAAAGGTTCACTGGGAGGCAAACACCGCAATGCCCTGAGAGCAGGATCTGCTAACCTGCTGACATCAGCACACCAAATCTGCCATTAGCTGGGGCTGCTGGATTCCAGACCTCAGGCATTAGTCCCGAATTCTGAGACTGCTGGGCTTACAGGCACCTGCCACCACACCTGGCCAGATTTTTTTTTTTTTTTTTTTTTTGAGACAGAGTTTTGCTCTTGTTGCCCAGGCTGGAGTACGGTGGTGCAATCTCAGCTCACTGCAACCTCTGCCTCCCAGGTTCAAGCAATTCTCCAGCTTTAGCCTCCCGAATAGCTGGGGTTACAAGCATGCACCACCACACCTGATTAATTTTGTATTTTCAGTAGAGACAGGGTTTCTCCGTGTTGGTCAGGCTGATCTGAAACTCCCGATCTCAGGTGATCCACCTGCATTGGCCTCCCAAAGTGCTGGGATTAGTGGCGTGAGCCACGGTGCCTGGCCCTGCTAGCCAGATTCTTATACCTTGGTCAAGCAAGGGAGCTGCCTGTTTTTCTGGCTGTCCGTTTTTCTGGCCAGCTGTATGTGAGTACACTTCTCATCCCACCAGAGAATCTTACTTCTAGCACTCCTCACGCTCATTAGTGAGCCCTCTCACGAACCGCAGACTTAGGCAGCCCTGCTTGAAGCGTTTGATGTTCTCGCCCTTGGTAGTGGACTAACTTCTTTTTGGTAGTAGATTAAAAATCAGTAACAAACACATAAATATTAAGCTGCCTACATGAAAGTATTTGAACTTAAGTTATAAATAATAAAATAACTGCAATTAGAAGACGGAGTAATACAGACACTTGAGTCAGAGGCTTGTGTTCAAATACTATTTGTCATGGCTCACTTTAATGAGCCTCACTTTTCTCATCTACAAGGAAAGAAGGTTCAGAGGCCGAGGCAAGTGGATCGCTTGAGCCCAGGAGTTTGGGCAACCAGCCTGGGCAACATGGCAAAACCCCATCTGTACAAAAAATACAAAATTAGCCAGGCATGGTGGGACGTCTGCAGTCCCAGCTACTTGGGAGGATGAGGTGGGAGGATCACCTGAGCTCAGGAGGTTGAGGCTGCAGTGAGCCAAGATCATGCCACTGTACTTCAGCAGCAACAGAGTGAGACCCTGTCTCAAAAACAATAGAAATAAAATAAAATAAATAGATGAATAGAAGTATGAAACTCACACTCATTAGGATGGCCTCTTTTTTTGCTGTTGTTCTGGAGATGGAGTCTTACTCTGTCACCCAGGCTGGAGTATAGTGGCGTAATCTTGGCTCACTGCCATCTCTGCCTCCCAGGCTTAAGCAATTCTCCTGCCTCAGCCTCTCAAGTATCTGGGATTACAGGCACCTGCCACCACACCTGGCTAATTTTTGTATTTTAATAGAGACGGGGTTTCACCATGTTGGCCAGGCTGGTCTCAAACTCCTGACCTCAAATTATCTGTTTTCCTTGGCCTCCCAAAGTGCTGGGATTACAAGCATGAGCCACTGTGCCTGGCCCCCTATTTAAAAAAAACAAAAACAGAAAACAAGTGTTATCAAGGATATGGTGAAATTGAAAAGCTTGTACAACTGTAGGTGGGAATATAAATGGTGCAGTCACTATGAAAAACACTATGGTAGTTCTTCAAAAAATTAAAGATAGAAAGGCCAGGCACAGCAGCTCATGCCTGTAATCCCAGCACTTTGGGAGGCCAAGGTGGGTGGATCATCTGAGGTCAGGAGTTCAAGACCAGCCTGGCCTACATGGCGAAACCTTGTCTCTACTAAAAATTTAAAAATTAGCTAGGTGTGGTAGCAAGCACCTGTCATCCCAGCTACTCAGGAGACTGAGGCAGGAGAATCACTTGAGCCCGGGAGGCAGAGGCTGCAGTGAGCCAAGATCACACCATTGCACTCCAGCCTGGGAGACAGAGCAAGACTCTCTCTCTCTCTCTCTCTCTCTCTCTCCCACACACACACACACACACACACACGAAAATTACAGCTAGAATTACCATATGATTCGGCATCCCACTTTTGAATATATATCCAAAAGAACAGAAAGCAGGAACTTCAACGGATATTTGCACACCCACGTTCATAGCAGCATTATTTGCAATAGCCAAGAGGTGGAAGCAACCCATCTGTCCACTGATGGATGGATAAACAAAATGTGATATGTACATGTAATGGAATATTATTTAAGCTGAAAAAGGAAAAAAGTTCTGACACATGTGACAATGTAGGTGAGGCTTGTGGACATTATGCTACGTGAAATAAGCCAGTCACCAAAGAACAAATACAATATGATTCCACATATGCAATCGTTAGAATAGTCAAATGCATAGAGACAGGAAGTGGAATGGTGGTTCCCAAGGACTGACGGAAGTGGGAAATGGAAGTTGTTGTTTAATGGGTACAGAATTTGTTTTGCAAGATGGAGAGTTCTGGAGATGGACAGTGGTGATAGTTACACAATAAAATGAATGCTTGTAATGCCACCGACCTGTACACTAAAAAAGTGTTAAAATGGTAAACTTTATGTTCTGTTTATTTTACCACAATCAAACAATTTAAAAAAAAAAAAGGAACAGGCCAGGTGCAGTGGCTTATGCCTGTAATCCCAGTACTTTGGAAGGCCAAGGTGGGTGGATCACGAGGTTAGGAGATCAAGACCATCCTGGCCAACATGGTGAAACCCCTTCTCTACTAAAATACAGAAAATTAGCTGGGCATGGTGGTGTGTGCTTGTAGTCCCAGCTACTCAGGAGGCTGAGGCAGGGATATTGCTTGAACCTGGGAGGCAGAGATTGCAGTGATCTGAGATCACACCACCACGCTCCAACCTGGCAACAGACACTCCAACCTTGGTCTCAAACAAAAAAAAAAAAAAAAAGGAACAAAAAATCCATCTCATTAGAGTTGTTGGAGAATTAAATGAGATGGTATTTGTGAAGCACTTACTTCAAACCGTGCCAGGGTAAATTATAGCTAACCTTATATTACTGGTGTTATCATTAACAGCTCTTACTTAAAATTCCCTTTAAACCCGTGCATTCTTAAGATGGAGTTGGGTGTGGCCTTAGGAATTCTACTCTGCTGCTTAGATCAGATGGAAGAACGGGCCAGTACTCCTGGATTTACCCAGGGGAACAGTGAATGTGCAGCATAAATGAGTCAGGCCTGGCAGGTCCACCAGTATTTATCTCATCCGTGCTTCCTCGCTGCACCCAGTTCTCTGATTTACAGAATCTGGATGCCTCCTCCCCACCTGATTTCCCAGCCCCAACAAGTCAGAATCAAAAACCGTACCATAGCAGGTCCGCCCGTCTCCTCGGAAGCCGATAGAGCACTCACAGGTGAACTGTGTCCTGGAGCCAGGGCGACACGCTGCGTTGGTGTCACACCCATGAGTGCCGATGTAGCAGGGATTCTGAAGAGCATCGGGGGAGCCTTCTGTGAGGGCAGAGACATTGGAACCAAGTGAGTCTTCAGGAGCTCTTGTAGATTTCCTCCTTCCATAGAAAGTCAACCACAATTGGTGACCAAGAAGGTGATCACAGAGGAGCAGAGTGGAATGGGACACCAGCCAATTCCTGTGTTGCCCTGAGGCAGGACCAGCAAATTATGCACCTCTGGCCCCCTCCCTGTTTTTATAAAGTTTTATTAGCAACCAGCCATGTCCATTTGTTTATGTATGATCTATGGCTGCATTTGTGCTATCGTGGCAGAGCTGACATGTCATGATAGAGACTGTACAGCCAGCAAAACCTAAAATATCTACTATCTGGCCCTTCACCAAAAATGCACCAACTCCTGATGCCTGCAGCCACAGCTGTCAGAGGAGAGAGAATGCCTACCTTCTTTCTGCTTTACAAAGTTAAAGTGAGGACAAATTGATTAGCTGGAGAAATGATTTGGATATGGAGGAAGAACCAAAGACAACTGAAAAAAAGGGAAAAACTACTTTGGAAGATCGAGGCAGGCAGATCACCTGAGGTCAGGAGTTCGAGACTAGCCTGGCCAACATGGTGACACCCCATCTCTAGTAAAAACACAAAAAAATTAGCCAGGCATGGTGGTGGGCGCCTGTAATCCCAGCTACTCAGGAGGCTGAGGCAGGAGAATCACTTGAACCCGGGAGGCAGAGGTTGTGGGTGAGCCAAGATCACGCCACTGCACTCCAGCCTTGGTGACAAGAGCAAAACTCTGTCTCAAAAAAAAAAAAAAGGAAAGACTTTAAGGCCCAGACCAGACCCAATTACACAGGACTCCTGATGTGGGAAGATAGGTGCCCAGGTGCCATGGCAAGAGTCTGAAGGCACAATCTGTCCCAGCATAACAAATAACGGATTACTTAGTTATAGCAATGACACCAAATAGAGTTACTGATTACTTAGTTATAGCAATATGTTTACTGATTACTTAGTTATACATATGACACCAAATAGATATTAGGTTTAATCTCACAATCAATTATATAATCAATCTTATTACATTATTATTCTCTATTAATCTTTGCTCTAGTGTAGGAACATCTTAGTCTTATAGTACAGACATAATCAAGTGAAATATAATTCGGAACTGAAGGGACATTGCGAGAAGTGATCAGGAGGCGAGAGTAAATGCCTTGCGGTAATGCCAGTGCCTGGGGAGGCGCCTGTTGCTTGGCAGGCCGTGAGGGGGAGTTTCCCTTTCACTGGGAGTTCAGAGAAAACTCTGCTCTGTCCGGCTCTCTCGAGGAAGGTTTGACACTAGCCAGGCGGGCTCGCAGACATCCAGGGGCTTAAACACCTCTCAGTGGTGCTGTGCTCTGATGGTCACCATTCTTGTTCGCTTTCATGTTCCACTTTCCCACCCGAAGCTCCCTTGTAAATTTTTAGAAGTTGTGAGAAGAAGAGAGGAATTCTAAAAGCCTTTGATCTCTTTGATAAGTGCATAGAAAGATACCAACTACGTATGTGCCTCCCCTCCTTGCAGTGGCTGCCTGAGAGGGAGCCAGGTGACCTCTGTACTATACCCATGTGACCCCCTGAACTGTGCCCACGTGGCCCCCTATATTGTAAGGATGTGATGTGCTTGACCCCTACCAATCATGTCAGATGAGTCACTCTCCTGGCCCCGCCCCACTGCCTTGTCATACAATAAACAACAGTGTGTCCAGGCACTCCGCCCCTTGGTAGCAGTGGTCCCCCCGGCCCAGCTGAATTCTTCTCTTATCTCTGTGTCTTTGAGTCTTTCTTTTCTAGATCTATGGTCTTCACACTCAAAAGAGCATCCACTAGACCGTGTGGGGCTGGACCCAGCACCCTGAGGCTTAAAGATATGGACAAATGTGAAGTCTGACATTGGTTCTGTCACAAAAGCTCCCTTCAGCTCCTTCCTGACAGCCAGGAACATCCACAGACCAGACCACAGCCTCAGTGATGTGCAGTCACAGGGTGAGAGTTTGTTTTAGACTCCCTGCCTGATTTTATTTAATTTCCTCAGGCATTAACCACACAATTTTTCTTTTCTTTTCTTTCTTAGTTTTTTTTTTTTTTTTGACAGAGTCTCGCTCCGTTGCCAGGTGCCAGGCTGGAGAGCAGTGGCGCAATCTCAGCTCACTGCAACCTCCACCTCCCAGGTTCAAGCAATTCTCCTGCCTCAGCCTTCCGAGTAGCTGGGACCACAGGGGCACACCACCACGTCCAGCTAATTTTTGTATGTTTAGTAGAGACGGGGTTTCACCATGTTGGCCAAGATAGTCTCGATTTCTTGACCTTGTGATCCGCCCACCTTGGCCTCCCAAAGTGCTGGGATTACGGGCGTGAGCCACCATGCCCGGCCTTTTTTTTTTTTTGAGGCAGAGTCTTGCTCTGTTGCCCAGGATGAAGTGCAGTGATGTGATCTTGGCTCACTGCAACCTCTGCCTCCCGGGTTCAACCAATTTTCCTGCCTCAGCCTCCCTGAGTAGTTGGGATTACAGCCACACATCACCACACCTGGCTAATTTTTGTGTTTTTAGTAGAGACACGGTTTTTCCATGTTGGCTAGGCTGGTCTTGAACTCCTGGTCGAAGGTGATCCACCCATGCTGGCCTCCCAAAGTGCTGCAATTACAGGCGTCGGCCACTACGCTCGGCCCTACCGTTCCTTTTTGCCAGAGCACCTGGCCCTACAATTTCTTTCTTTTTTTTTTTAAGACACAGTCTCACTCTGTTGCCCAGGCTGGAATGCAATGGCGAGACCTGAGCTCACGGCAACCTCTGCCTCCTGGGTTCAAGTGATTATCCTGCCTCAGCCTCCCGAGCAGCTGGGATTACAGGCATGTGCCAACATGTCTGGCTAATTTCTATAATTTTAGCAAAGAGGGGGGGGTTTCCCCATGTTGGCAAGGCTGGTCTCAAACTCCTGACCTCAGGTAATCCACCCGCCCTGGCCTCCCAAAGTGCTGGGATTACAGGCATGAGCCACTGCACCTGGCCTACAAGTTCTTTCAAGGTTGACTATTAAAGGGTTTTTAAAGCCCTGCCAACGCCAGCAGAAGCCTTAAGATGGTCCACTCTGTAAGGTAACCCAACAGGTTAGCATTCTGCACTCTACTCTGTACAGGATCACGGATAGGCCTTCGGTTAGAAAAACAGACAGGTGGCTTTTCCAAGAGTCACAAAAAACAAGACATTCTTTGTTTCTTGCCGGAAGATATTTTTAGCATAATTTTCTTCTATAGACAAAGAGTGAGAGACCAAAAACCATGTCAAAGAGTGGGGTTTAAAAATGCACGAGCACCGCGCCCAGCATGAGCTGCGTCCCCTTACCCCTCACAGGCCCGATGGAGTTGCTGAGAGCATAGCGCAAGATCCTCTCCTCCTGGTTGTACAGGACAAACACGCTGTCCACGGAGAGCTGCTGGGTGCTGGGCAAGGCCCGCCGGGAGTCATCGTGGACACATTCCTGGAAGGTGATGGTCTGGCGCCACTGGTAAGTGTAGATGCGTGAAGGAGCTGCCCCATCGCGCTCGGGCTCAGTCACCGTGTACTCCCGGGTGGAGGAGGAAGTGATCACTGCAGAGTGGGAAGGACAGAGGGGACAAGGCAGGGAGACAAAGGGAAGATGGTTAAGGATGCAAGAAGCTGAATCAAAGGCTTTAAAAGCACCTTGGCATTCCCTGCCCATAAGGCTACCAGAGGACCAATCAGACAGAACAGCTTAAATCAGACAATCTGTTTGTACTGGGACTCATTCTATGAAATACCTGGATTTCCCACATGATCATTGGTATTATTTGTATTGTTAATATTTGCTGCTTTTCTCATCAAGTGGTTCTCTGTAAGTTCTGAAGACCCCCAGAGCTAGAGATGAAGGTCCAGTGGAGAGAACACACACTTGGAAATAGACACCCTGAATTCATACCTAGTACCACTCACTAGCTGTGTGACCACTGGCTGGTTACTCAACATCTTTGGTCTCAATTTCTTACACAAAACAGGTCAAGATGAGGATCAGACCAGGTAATGTATGTAAAATTTCTGGAATCAAGCAGATTAATAGTAAGACAAATTTACTGAGTGAGCATTTACTCTGTCACAACGTGCTAACTGCTTTATATTGGTTATCTCAATTAGGATTCAATAAATAGTGATTTCTTTTTTTTTTCTTTTTTTTTGAGACAGAGTCTCACTTTGCTGCCCGGTCTGGAGTATAATGGCACAATCTTGGCTTACTGCAACCTCCACCCCCTGGGTTCAAGCGCTGCCCCCTGGGTTCAAGCGATTCTCCCACCCCAGCCTCAATAGTAGCTGGGACTACAGGCAGCGCCATCACGCCCAGCTATTTTTTTTTGAGACGGAGTTTTGCTCTTGTTACCCAGGCTGGAGTGGAATGGCGCGATCTCGGCTCACCGCAACCTCCACCTCCTGGGTTCAGGCAATTCTCCTGCCTCAGCCTCCTGAGTAGCTGGGATTACAGGCACGCGCCACCATGCCCAGCTAATTTTTTGTAGTTTTAGTAGAGACGGGGTTTCACCATGTTGACCAGGATGGTCTCGATCTCTTGACCTCGTGATCCACCCGCCTTGGCCTCCCG